GGCTCAAGACAGTACTACATCATACCGTATAACTTTTTTTGTAGCATCTTGAAGTATCTGAAATTCCACTATATTATAGTCCATAATAGCACCTAATATTTGGTCAAAGAATGGTGATTGTAAGTGCTTTCATTCTCGAAATATTGATGTTCAAAATTTTGAGGCCAATGTCCAAAATCAAGAGAACTGATGATATATTGAAAAAAGTGGTCGACTCTTGATGTGTGCCCATGATTTTTCTCAGCGGATAATAAGTTTTAGCTCTCTATCACATTCGGTCACAGAATAAAGTAGGTTTAAAAAAATCTGAAATTCTGAAGTCTTAAAATCTAATAATCGAACTTTTAGAGAAAAAGAAAACGTTATTTATCAAAATAAGTGCATTTTCTGGTAGATAATTAAAATTTACATCAGGGAAATGAGTTTCATGATATTATCTTTATCCATAATTGAACAAAACGCGATCGAAGTTTCAACTTCGAACGCAATTTTCTCGAGATTCATTAGCCAGAGAAACTGTTTAAAAGCACTAATAGACTCAACTTTTATGTCCCTACAAACCAATTGAGTCTAAATTCAAAAGAAATTAATTTGCGGCTTCTTTTTGTCCCTTTGTGTCAATTTGTGCATCAATGTTACAACTAATGTGTTTATTGTGTCTTTTTAGCAACAAACCAGTGTAAAATAACTGCAAATCATTGAAATTAACTCATTTTTCATGTTTATATGCAGATAACTTGGTCAATGATCCTTTGGTAACATCTAAAATATATCACCCACTACCAATTAGTCCTGAAATCTTGCGAACTTCGTTTTTCGTTGTGAATCATCGCTGTGATAATCAATATTTGCCTTTACTTTTAGAGACAATTTTACGTCAACCCGAGCTAAAGCCAAACAAAGTAATGGTCGCTATTAAGACCAATTGCCACCCTTCAATCTATCAGCTAATTAAGGTTTTCAGTTTCGAGGTATTTCAGACTAAAATGGATAATAGTCAATATCTCAATACTATTCTTGATCATGTTGAAAGATTCTATCGTTATGCTCATCAGTTGATATTGTTGATGATTGTGTTGTGCTTATACCAAACTTCTTACCCTTTATGGGACAGTTATTGCCTTTGCTTCACTATTCCGATGCCAAAGTTAACTTCATATCCGCTTGGAATGAAAATGGCTTCACTAACACATCGGCTGATCCTAGTCTGGTTTACAAAGTTGACAATGCTCATTACCCCATTAGATTAGCTTTTATGATTAAGCGGGGAACAAGGCTATCGACTAATCAGTTGGATGGATCTTTATGGTCACTCGAACTGTTTAATATTCAAGGAAACCAAATCATTGGTGATGGCATAATTCCTGATCAGTCCAGAGTCTTGCCTACTTGGAAGATCGGTATTAATGGTCCTGTCTATGAAGCTAATAACTAATAGTTAGCATTTATGATCACACTTATGATAGCGATCAAGAACGAAGTGTTTGTCTGTAAGTGTTCGCTTATTCAATATCGTACTTTACGGTCGTAATATTGCAACTAACTGATGATATTTCTATTTATATACAGAGAAACAGAAGTTCTCTTGGCCGTCATTTATTCTTTTATCTCTCGAGACACAACAAACTTAAAATTTTTCAAATCGTATAAACTTGGTGTGAAATGATTTGTGAATCATTCACTATCTTGAACATTGCAATATTTCAGCTACTTAATTTGGATGAATATTGTCACTCCCTTTTGGAATAAATTCAACAATAAGATATCAAAACATTTCACATCGTATCAAACCTGATTAGACCTAATATTTATTTGACTGCAGCTCATTGTGTCTCTAGGTAAACACGATTTAATCAAACAAATTATCATAAACTAAATGATCAATGTTTATCCTCTTTTCCAGGATTGAAATTAAAAAATACTTCTTGTAACTCAAAGAAAACATTGAATACAGAAATTGAGGTGTTCCACAGTATTTTTAATGTCGTTTATTACATTAATTGGATCGAAGTAACAATTTAAAGATTTATACGATGAAAATTGAATGAAAAAAATGCAAAAATAGCAGTTTAATGTTTTAATTTTTCGTGTATGTTGCGATAAACATATAATCAATCATCACTAAGGGAAAGTCCATCCAAAACGAATGCATTACACTTATAATGAACAAGCTGAGACACGATCATGGCTGATCGTAAATTTCTTTTAACCACCCATGCTAACCGTCTTTTCACGGTATTGTCCATGTGTTGGATTGAGTGGTGGACAATACGGTGAAAAGATGGTAAAAAACTGGTGAAAAAAGTCGGTCCTCTCTTTCCTCTTTACTCAAATGACAAAGTTTTACATAAAATCCTGGTCCAACAATCAACCATCAACCTAAATAACAAAAAGTTTTTCCCCCTCTCTCAATGTTATTGAATACGGATTCTACATTTTTTCCCCCAGTCTCTATTTTCATGAATTTCTCAGAGGTCATGAGATTCTGAGGACAGGTTTCCTATTTTTCGTCGTTGTAGTTGAATTAGGGCTTTCACGCTGTGTAATTTTTTTTCTTAGAACCCGCTCAGTTCGACCACAATCTTGACGCAAAAATTTGATGCTTTGACTTTATATATTGTATAGATAATATTTATGTGATAAATAACTATCGTCAAATAGCTCTTGTTGAATAAATTGCCATTGGAAATTTAATAAATATACAAAATAAAGAGCAATAAACTCTATTTGAGCTTCTTCTTGCCACCACTAAGTTTCCACGTGTTCAAACCAAGAAAACGAGAAATTTTCCTGTGTAAATGAAATGAGGTTGAAAAAATAGATTAGAAACAAGTGCATTTAAAACCGTAAATATCTTACCAAGTTGTTATTTTATCAAAGTACTGGGCGAAAAAATCCCAAGTTAGTCTAAACCAAAAATAACCAAATAAAGATCCGATCATTGCACCAGCAATGCATTGTGATGTGAAATGATAAAGAAGATATACTCTGCAGAAGACAAAAACCAAATTAGATTCGTAACAATATTTATGTTTCAGATGCCTAGATTTTTACAATATAACAATTTTTCTTCTTACCTTGAATAAAGAACGGCGATAAGACTTGAAATTAATAAAATTATCAATAGCCCTCTGGTTAATAGGTTTTTATGACTAGCTTTGTAAATTAAATATAGACAACAATAAGCTGTGAAGAAACCCATGCATTGACTGTGTTGAGACGGCATTCCATATTTATTTGCACTTCCAACAAGGTGATGTGGATTTTCTGGCCTTAGATGTTTCAACATACGCTTAGCTACAACATTCATCACTTCATTTAGCATTTGTCCTAAAAAAACACATATCTAAAATAAAAACAAAAACAAAAGTTATGTATTTGATGTAAATGGAAGTCTCAACGAAATTACCGTTGGTAGATCCCGGTTGTGTAAAACTAGAACAACGTAAGATACAAGAACCGCTATAGGAATTAGGCTTACGTAGGCAAGCAAATGTCCAAATTGATCTCCTAGAATTTTAGATGAAACAATAAGAAATTGGTTAAAGCAAAAAAAAATCCGAATGTTACAAATGCACAGCTTACCTCTTGGAAATTCAACACAGGTTAAACTTGTACTAGCCCAAGTTAAATTTTCCATATTTTTAGAGCTGAATAACGATTCAATATAAGTTCATAATCTTCAAGATAATTTATAAGTTGAAAAAGCTCACAAATTGGATAAGTTTTTGTTTAAAAAATTGTTATTCAAGTTGAATCAAGTTTCGGTCATGTTTCCATAGAGACATGGTGTAGAAAAATGCCGCAAGTTTTAAAAAATATAAATCTTAAATAAATAATTAGCTCAATGAGTGCACCAAGAAATTATACCATGTATTAAAAACAAACTTTACATGTAAACTTGGTATATAACGAATATTAATTTATAAGTTATAAATTATAACCATCCAATACTATGAGCACCGGAAGACATAAAGCTTTTTGAATATTCAACAGCAACGAATAAAGCACCTGTAGCAGGGAAAGTTCTGAGCAATGTTGGACCTAATCCTTTATATAACGCTCTGAATCCATTTGTGCGATAAATTCTTATCATGACTTTGGACATCGATTCGTCGGTAGGTTCAATCTGCATGCGAGATTTGGCAACATCAAAGGGAAATATTGATGTCCAAAGACATAATCCACCGAATCCGCCAGCAGTGACTGTTGTTAGGAGTCCTGGATGAGAAATAAAATCAATTAACATCAGATGATTCAATCAACGTTGATTTATCAAACTAACCTGCAGTCTCTGGTTTACCATCTGTAAGCAAATGCCTGGAAAATTCATAGCCACCAAAGAAAAAGAAATAACCAGGCATTTCTCGGGCGAAGGTCGGTGTTAAACCTCTGAACATCCCAATTAGACCTTCATCTTTAAGTATTTGACGAGTCATTCCGAAAGCAGTGCTATTTGAATGAATGATAAAAACCAGTGAAATAGGTTTAATTGATTTTAGCGACTTTTTTAACTCACACTTTACCACTTTGACCAGTTTCCTTTAAAGATTGTAAACGACATTTTATAAGTTCAGTCGGACAGAGAGTGAATGATGAGAAAAAAGCAGCGAAAAATCCAGCAATTGCGTTTTCTAGTGGTTTTGGTGCACCTTCATTTCCAGACAAATATGTAACACCTTTTTGACAAAAACCATGAGCACAGAAAAGAACTGAATTTTCAGCAATATTGGCTGCCAAAGCAGGGAATGTTCCGGCGTAGAGACCTCGAAAAAAACCTTCATTTTTTAGTGTTTTCTTGAAACATTGTAAACCGTTATTGTAAAGATGAGGGAATGTTTGTAATTTGACTTTTACAGTATCCAAAGGCTGGCCAACAAAAACACTAGCTGATCCTCCTAATGAACCAGCAATAAATCCAATAACTCCTTCAATGAAATGACGACTTGCAGTTGATTCAGTCACACTTTGAGAGGCATCCTGGGAATTCATCGTATTATTGAATTACAATCTACTAAATAGTAAGAAAATAAATAAAATTATGCAGTTTGAATTACAAATTCATCACAAGTTACTCTGGACAAAAAAATCTGAAAAATGAAACTTGGGTTCATACTGAAGTCATGAAAAATTAGTGGTTCGGAGCAAATCAACTAACAATAAATTATTGTAAAATAAATTTAAAAAATGTGATAAATGTATCCGTAGTATGACCAATAGCTTAAGATATGACTCGATTGGATATGATAAATGTGTGGCTAGCTGCAAAGCCATGTGTCGTCAATAGATAGCTTTTTTTCTGATCCATAACATCAGTTTTACATTATTTTTAAGTACATTTACAGTATTTCGACCTTTTCTCAGTTCAATTATGAATTCAAATTCATTTCATCCCCATCATACACTGAAAATTACAATAACCAGACATGATCCAAGAGTTAAATCAAGGTAAGATATTTTGTTAATATTTCCCTTTAAGAACATTTTTGTCAACGGTTCTTTTTTCTTAATGTAGGTTGCTTTACGAAACCGTTAAGCCTAGAGATATCAATGTGGATGATGATTTAAATATTGTACCAATGGATATTGATTCAGATGTTGAGGACGAAAAGAGAAGAACTGCATTCATAACGAAAAGAAATGTTGCTCGTAGTCTAAGAAAATTAGAGAAGAAAATCAGACGATACTTCAAGGAAGGGTTAAAGCTGGCAAAGGAGGCGACCGAGAAGGAAGACCAAGAATTGAGGGAACAATCTAGAAATCTGATTAATGAGAAGACGGACCATTTTGTTACGCATTACAGAAAAAAATTGACTTTATATCGCAAAATGATCGACGACCCTTCTTGGCAAATTGTGGAAAAAATGCCCTTAAAAGATATCAAACATAGATTGATATTTCAAAGACACAATTACAAAGACAACTTCTTCTCCTAACCGCCTCGTTAAAAAATTGTGATCTGAGGTGTTTCATGAATATACATATGTATATGTATTTCAAATATGTTTTATGATTAATTACTCTTGCAAAAAACAAAACACATGAAAAAAATAAACAAACCTTTGTAACGGGTGCCTTGTAATAACCTTGTAAAACAAAAGACCAAAAGATGATGTAACCTGTAATTACACTATTATATTAAAAACTATTTAAAGTAAATGTTTAGGGTTAGGAGGATTAATTGTAATTGTTGAAAGTCATCAGTCATGATAGAAAATCTAATTATATTAATAACAGCTGAAGTAATAAAGTACAAATGAAACATTAAGGCTGAGATGGAGAAAAGGAAAAATTCGCTATCTCTTTTTTTGTTTATCTGTAATTTTATCTGAGTTCTGTGAGTTACTTATCATCAGCATTATTAGGGAAAGACGAGGAAAAGTAAAGAGACATTTTTAGGCCTTGTAAAGTCGAAGAGATGAGATTGATCCATGAGTTCGAGTGATTGTTTCAAGATGATAGTATTTGTGATAGGCACGATTTAGTGATGCTTATTTACTTACAGTTCACACTAGGGAATCCAACGTTTCCTATTTGTTTCTCTTCTGCTTCGATCCCTTTGATTGCAGCTCTCCATGGTTGTAAACGTTGAACAGATTGAATACTTTGACAAACTGAACTTTGAGAGGATTAAACAGTTTGAATGGTTTGACAAAAATATTAGTCAAAGTCAGGCTTATGGTTAAGGATTTTAAAATAAAGATTCTCACTTTCACAAGCTAATAATATACGAAAAGACTTTCATCAGAAAGTTTTAATCATGTCAGGTTTTACCATGTTTAAAGTAGATTATTTAATCAGCAATCATCAAACATTAAAGTAAATTTACAATACAAGATCAGTTTATTTTAAAAATAGTTAACATATAAAACTTGAGGTTTTGATTCTCTTTTTTATTAATCAAAATGCCCTCGAGTCTCTTAAGCCACTCAATATTATTTATGCCAGATGGCAGCATAATGCTCTTAATCAGTTGTTGATTTTTAATTGAACTTGATTGAATCAACAAATTTCAATTTTAAAATTGTTTTTTATATTTTACATAATTTACCAAATAAAAACTAAATTCAATTAAATTAGAACCGATTTCTCGCTCTTTCCTTTCTCAACCTGAGTAAATGACAAGCATCTTACATCTGCAAGTCAGTCAAACGAGTAAGCTAAAGAAATATTATCACAGAAACAAAACAAGAATTAATCAACAAATCAAATTCTCGCTCTAATTTGTGAAGGTTCACACTAAAAATAGACTGTTTTGAAACTTTGTATAAATAATCAACAGTTGGACTCTTCAATCCTGAAAATAGCTTATATTTCATCGATGACATACTCAATATTGCTCAATGATTTCATCTGAAAATCAAAATTGATTAGAAAAAATCAATCTCTGGGAATCACAATCAAATAGGAATCTAATATAGTTTCAGATCCACACCTCCACCAGTTAATCAGTTCATTATATGGCAACAAGACACACACCTTTTTTGCGAACAGAATCAAAACAAGATTCAATAATCAGTGATGCTTCTAAATGACGAAACTAACCACAATTCAACACTTAAATCTTCATGATTACCTTGAAATCATCTGGTAAAATCATTCAAACCTCGACTCAACTCTGAAATTCAGTTCGAAATCGAAAAAGTGACCAAATTTATAATAATTTCCCTCAAATATCATGAAATATCAAAGAGTCAAACTCAAATGAATATTAAACAAACCTTTGCGAATAGATGATTCAATAATTGCTCAAAATTTGGTGATTTGACTGATAATGACTTCAACTCTTTGCTATCATCATTTGGATTAATTTGGTTGAATTTTGTCTCCCGTCTATTGGAAACAATTCAATAATGTATCTTAACACACCTCATCCAACCACACCTGCAGGTTTAATCATTTTATTGATAGTTTAAATCACCGATAACCATCCGATTATTCAGTCATTATATCAGTTAACTATGATGTTTCGATGATTAACAAAAATGCTGTTGCTTTCAATGAGCTTCATACTATTTTCGTTGAAACTGTAATCTCTGTTTAGGATACTTCCATCAGGCATTAGTTGAATAATCAATGGACATATTGGATCATCAACCAATTCAATCCAGAACTAATTAACTGTAAGAAATCAATAATTGAAACAATTCCACGTGAATAACCTATGGTAACAATGAATACAGTTGAGAAGATAAAATTAGATAGAGTCAAAATTGAATGTATCAAAGTGAAATATTGATAGACAACAGTTGGCTCAATTTATTATAAAAGTTCAACTTAATTAGATCAACAGTTAGTTGTTAAGTGTTCAGCCAAATGGTTCACTTAATTACCAGTTGATGACTATGATTTAGGCATCAAAATACATTACACTGCAAGTGATCGGACTAGTCAAGTTAACCAGTTTAACCGGTTATTTACATATTGTATTATAACCAGATTAATTTATTTACCAACATTGTAACAAAATGTCGCCATCTTTTTTAATTGTGTTCTTAATTATTTGTATAAATCATTCTCTTGTCATTGGTGAAGATCCCTTGCAGCTGAAATTGGTAGCCATTGTCCATCGCCACGGTGATCGCGCTCCTTTAAACTTCCTTCCTGGTGATCCTTATTCAGATGATATCTTTTGGCCTGATGGCAAATCACAGTTACTTGCCTCTGGAAAAGACAGATTGTATCAATTGGGTGAATCGTTGAGGCTCTATTATGACAATTTTTTAACCCACAATCCAAGGGAAGTTCGTGCAAGAAGCTCTGATGCCGATCGATGTATTGAATCAGCTGAAATGCTATTCCATGGGCTGTACAAAGCAAAGGGGCGATGGATCTACAACAGTAAAACCGATTACCTTCCAATACCAATACATACGACTCCAACTATGTATGATAGGGTAAGTTAATAATAGTTCAACAACTAAATTAGCTAATAAGAGCGACAAAAAATCACAATTATTCCAGGACACAGTAAGCACGTAAAGAGATCGAGCATTTAAGACTGTCGCTCAATTGCAAAGGGACTTAAAACGATAGAATGTCAAATATTGAGAAATCAAATCATCATCGGAATAGCAAGTCATGAAAAAAGACAAAAATTCAAACATTTTGTGTCATAGTGTTGATGCATTTCTTTGTTTAACTTTTTAGCCATATCTTTCAATTGTACAATTTAGAAACAATCAAAGCAAATGTCAATCTGAGGTTTGATCTAAATTGATTAATCAATCTGGTTTCTTCTTCTTTAATATTAGATGTTGGCTGAAGGAGTTTATTGTCCAGTGCTCAATAAAGAGACTCAGGCTGTCTTTGAAAGACCAGAGTCAAAATCATTTTTAACAAAATACTCAACAACACTAGCCGTTTTAACCCAAAATTTGGGATTAAAATTCAACGATTTAGGTTTGGTTTTTGGTATTTTCGATGCTTGGATGATTGAAAAATCACAAAACTATAAACTACCAAGCTGGATGACTGAATCCATTTGGAATGATCTTATCGAGATGGTCAACTTATACTCAACCATTCAAAACGATTCCCCAATAATACATCGTCTTCGAGCTGGAAACTTCCTTGCAGATCTGAAAAAATATTTTATCCAATCAACTGAACCATCAAACGGTAAACAACCAGTAAAGCTAATAACCTATTCAACACATGATACTATGTTGGGATCATTCATGTCCACTCTGAAAATCTTCAACAAGATAAGAGTGCCTTATGGAGCCGCACTGTTGATTGAATTGTTAGCTTCGCCTGATAATAAGCAGAACTATGTTCAAATCAAATATTGGAATGATACTCATGTCAACGAGCAACACAAATTAACACTACCTTTCTGTGAATCTGGACAGCTGTGTAAGTTGGATCAATTTTTGGATTACATCGATCAATTTATACCAACTGATTGGGAATCCGAGTGTTCCTTGAATAATACAGAGTCGGGACCTTCAGCTGAAGACAACAAGCGATTTGACGACCAAGAAAACGATAAAGGTTGGGAATGGGTTGGAATTGTCGCCGCTACCTGTTTATCAATAATTACAGTGATTATTGTAATGCTATTTGCCTCATTTGCTTATGATTTATACAAAAAATCATATCGAGTTAAAAGATCTGATAGAGAGAAACAAGAATATGACAGAATATTGTAAATTAATTATAAATGACATCCTAATTCATCTGTATCAATTATCATTACACAATGTAAATAGAGACTGACTTTAATTCAGTTTAAAAGTAATTTCACCAATTGAAAACATTTAATTGCTAATTTTGCTAATAAAACAATTGGATATCCAACTTTGAGAGCGTTTTTTCACATCTCTGAGTAACTAAACAGTTTGTAATCAATCAAGTAATGGCTTCTGATATCCTTAATGTGAATAAGTAATTGATTTGATTAGACTCATGAGCACTCTTTGATTTACAGGGTAACTTTCCCTATTCAATTAGGCTTTTAACAATCATTTTCTGGCTAATTCTTTCGTGCATTTCCTGAGCTTGATTCTGGTGATTTTCAAAATTTTAAATTCACAATGAAAAGCTTGAAATACAGCAATCAAATTGACATTAAAATTGAATTTTGATGCAATCAAAGGAAATAATAGTTCGACAAAAAATGTGATGAAAAATTGTTGAAAATTACTGGTGAAATATACAAGATTAAATCAACTCTCGTTGACAATCAATTGTCATCAGTCCAAAAATTGATTTTCACTTTTTTCAGGGTTCAAATCTGTGTCTAGGTTCATCTAAACTTTTTAGTAACCCATTCAATTCCCAGCTGTATTGAGTGCTTTTATTGTACAATTTGAACATTTCACCGCAATTACTCATAACTAACCAAAACAGGATAACTACCATTTCCAAGGCTCATTACTGATTATTTCAAACCTATGAGTAATAAATACTTTTTTTTGCAAAATCAATGGATTTAGGTAGACGCACTTTAAACACGAGCCTGAAATGGTATACATTTTGGTGTGACCAGAAAATTTCAAAAATCTCTGGAAAAGGAATGTTTTTTTTATAATATTTTCAATAATAAATTATCTCCAAAAAGTTAAAGGTCCTTTTAAAATAAAAAATGTCCATTTTTGGAGACCCTCCTTTAGATGAGCTCATTTAGCCTAACCATTAGTTTTAAGATGAAAAAGGTGTAACTCCCAAGAAATATTTGTATCTCTATGATAAGAAATATAACTCAAAATACAAATTGTAATCAAATCAATTGGTGAAGTAAAAATCAGTTACTTGTTTCACAGCAACAACAACTCTACAATTTTTTCAACTATTAGACTTGTGGTATAACTACACCTTGACTACATATTTCCGTGGACATAAAACATAATTATCATTCAAAGTTAACAATTAAATAATTGTGACAATTGTTTCGATACAAAGGAAAGTCACATTTGAAATTGTCTTGAAACCAACCAAGGCCAGCTTTGGATTCCTCTTATTCCTCTTTCATCATTTGGTGAGTTTGCTCAAATACACCATTCTGTTTTATCTTCTCTCGCCATCAAAACCATTCCTTCTTATGTTTCTCTTGATCTGGGAAACCAATCCACTTAATCAAGATTTCTGTAACCATCTCTGTGTATGTGAATGTTGATCTTTCCCTCAACAATTTAAGGGAGAGAGGATGTTAATCAATAGTGATCAACCATAAACACTGTAAACATCAAATTAACTGATATCATTGAACTTGCCTGTCTTCTCATTTTTTTTGGTAACATTTTGCTTTCATGTTTTTGTTTATGATTGGTTAAACTGTGACTGGTTGCTTACTCTTTTTCAATTGTGATTTTCATCTTTTGTCTTCTTCTCAATTATGGTTACACCGAAAATTAATAATCATCATCATCATCATTTCAGTGAAAGCTTATAATCTACAACCCACCATCAATAATCTATAGCTTGTGTTTTTCACTGGATTTGTTTTACTTTCTCCCTATATAGTCAATCATGTTTATTTACTTTATAGTCAATGTTTTGTTGACCTTTCAGCTATCCTATTCAATTGATGGTCCTAATGTTTGTACTAAAGAATCAAAGTATGATAATTTACTCTAGTTGATTATCTTAGTTCAATTAAATTTATCTATTTTGTTTTATCTCTTTAAGGCAATTTAAAAAAGTGAACGTTCCCGCAAAGTTACCCTTTGAAGTAAAAACATTTAAATGGTGTGCGGAGATTCCCTTTAGATGCCCACAAACTCGGTATGTATTGATTATTTTAATTTGTCAAACAATTTCTAAATCTTTATTCTTCTTACAGTATTGAATACCGGGATTCCTTTCTCACACAAATCAAAGAAGTGACATTCAACGAATCAATTTGCTGTCCTGGTTATGCGGAATTCAATGATCGATGTATACCTGTGTGTAGTAGCCAATGTATTCATGGTATATGCATTGAGCCTAACAAATGTGATTGTGAAGCAGGATGGTCTGGTGATGTTTGCAATATTTGTAAGTGCGATTGAAACCCAATCAAAATTTGACTCCTATTTCAACCGGATTCTAGTTGGTTAGGTTCACATGCTACCAGGAATGGTTTAATGATGGTTTAGCCTAAGAAGTTTAATTGGTTATTTAAATAACACATTGAATGTGTTAACAGATTGATTTGTTTTCCACCAGTAGCTACTAATTTCAACAGCAAGCGTGAGAATTCGTTATGATCAATATGAATAGTTTCCTGATTTGATATCATCTATTTGTTACTCTGTATTTTTAATTGGACTTTCTCTTCCTTTCATCTTCCTTTTTTGGTGTTTATTTCAAATTTGACTCTTTCCACCCAGTTGAGCAATTTAATTGTATAATATATAAACTGGTCTCTGTCTACAAGTCTACCAGATTTGAGTAATTTTTTGATTCGAAGAAAATCCAGTCAGAGTTTACTCACTCCTCTGTTGAGTTAATAATCATTTTGTTGCTAACTAGGTTAGCTAGATGTTATTGTTATTTTCAGCCTTTTCCTCATTTGAATTTTAAAGTTTATATTATTTCTGCCTTCGAGTTTTGTTTTCTTAAGTAGGAGAATCCATTGAACTGGTTTTTCAGTTTGATTTTTGGCAGAAGCATCTTGTTAGAGTGGTAATGTTTTCTGGTAATCTCATTTACTTGTGAATCATTCTAGCGGTGTTCGTATTCTTGTCTATTGATAATGAGTTAAACATGCTTTAAATCGAGGTCATCATAAGCATATGTCATTTCTCGTTCGATCTATTGTTTTTATGCATTTCAATCTGATAGGATGATCAAGCGTACTTTATATTTCCGTATTTTCCTTCTCAATATTTGCTCATCATTCTCTATAAACATTAATTTTATTTCCGCTGTTTAGTTTAATTTGTTTCCAATTTTACAAGCCAACGACATGTATTATGATGACATGATTTAATTTGAATTCTGGTCGGTTATTGGTTTATCTATCAAGAACAATTTAAAAATTCATAATCAACAACAACGGACGTATTGAGTTATCTTAAGTATCTTTCTAGTCATTTAATTGAGAAGGAGTAGCTATTTGATCTGATATCTCCTAATCACTGCCGTTATGATTGAAGCAATGAATATGATAACAATTCAAACAAATTATCAGTTGCGCATAAACTGATTTCTCTATTACTCTTAGCGCTGATCACGAAAATATAAATACAATAAGTTCATGGTAAACATTTGAGAGGCTTTTAAAATATTGAATCCGATGTTGAAAACTTACTATTTTAACATAAATGCACATGAAATGACAAAATGATATCTGGTAACTGTTATTAAATCAAATCATTTTCATCTTTTTTATGCTTTCCAAAAATCAGGGTATCGTAAGTAGTCAAAACTAAACGAACCCACTCATTTTTATCTGATATTTAGGCATATTTTTATTCTGAAACATTCAACTAATATTGATTTATTTAATCCTTATAGCTTGTCCAGATGGAAAGAGTGGAAACAATTGCTCATCTCAATGTAATTGTAGAAATGGTGCAACCTGCGATGCAGTTTCTGGTATCTGTGAATGTAAACCTGGTTGGACTGGAAAAGATTGCTCAAAACCATGTCTCAAAGGATATTTTGGTCTTGGATGCTCACAAAAGTGCATTTGTCTGAATGAAGGCGCTTGTAATCCAATTACGGGTATGTTTAATTATTTCAAAATAAAATCTGATCAGTAAAGGCTTGAATTGTTCATCTCTGCTGATTGGCATATTTATTTTTCTTTGCTCAATATTTCTTTTAGGCTTGCTAATCATGTAAATTGTTTACAGTCCATTTACTAATTTAAAAATGTTTATTCTATTGTAGGTGAATGTAAATGTCGTGCTGGCTTCAAGGGCGAATAGTGAGTAATTTTTTACTCTTTTTACATCATTTTCTTTCTATCTTTCAGTTTAAGTTTCTTAAATAAAGTAGTTTATTTCAACTAATTTATCTTTCATTTGGTTCCCTACAGCTGTCAAGATGATTGTGCTCCCAATGAATTAGACCCTGAATGTAATAGACAAGGTCTATGTGCCAACAATGGGATCCGTAATGCCTTCACCGGTGAATGTGAGTGTCAACCTGGATACATTGGAACTCATTGTGAAAACCCTTGCCCATCCGGAACTTACGGCTATGGCTGTTCTAAAGAATGTAAATGTCCAAGTTATGATTGTGACCATGAATTCGGATGTAGGTCTTCTCGGATGTATCCTATCCCAATCCAATCAGCATCGTTTTATCGTGATGAAGGATTCATTTCAGTCAATCCTATCCTGTTAACTGTATCATGTTTACTTCTGCTGATCGTGTGCTTAGCTTTACTGGCATTGCTAAGATATCGTAGAAGAGTCAAAGATTTAAGCAAAGAGCGAGCTTATGTTACTTATGTGGCAAATAAGGATGCATCAGACCAATTTGAAAATCCTGTATATTCATTTGAAAACTCACTTGGAGACAAACTTCGCCCTTTATCCTTTCCTTTACCAAGTCCAATCAACGATTTGAGTTTGTGTAATAAAAAATGGGATAAACATCAGTTTTCCGGTTTAGAGAGCAACAGTCCATCGCATCAACCCTTTAGGAATCAATCACCACACTCTTATCATCGCCATGATCATCCACGAACCTCTTATGACCAAGGATGTAGTAGCAACTGTAGACTCAATATTTGTGACCAAGCATCAAATCTTTACGTTAATCAAGAATTAAGTAAATCATCTGATAGCCTTTATAAAGAGCCAATCTATGCTGAGATAAGGAGTAAGGATTTTGAGGATGACCATCACCAAATACCCGATCACTATGACCGGCCAAGACCAATCAACAAGATACTTAACAATGATTTGAATCATTCTTCAGAACATATCTAAAGATTCAGTGGATGAAGCGCGATGAAACCATTCCAAATCAACAAATCAAGTCATAATTTTCTTTTGTGATCAAATAACTTTTTTTGCTTGCCAGTGCATTTTTGCATTTAAAGCATTTATATTTCTCCAGTCATTTTCATGGAAATGCATTTTCACCATTTTACATCCATCATTTTCTCTACGAGACTCAAACAATTATGATTGCAGCTTTTTAAATGCAAACGATAATAACTTATGATAAATTGTGCTCATCAATTTTAAAGTCAATCAGAGTACAAATTTTCTTCAAGTCTGGACTAAATGTCACTTTTCACATATACTTTCAATGTATAGTATTTTATGGATATATTTTGATTCCAAATTGTAGCGATTAATGGATACAAAATAATGTGTAATCTTCATTATCAAAGGTTAATAGTGCCTAAATGGTTCAAGCTCAATCGGATTTAATATCATTTTTCATTGACTTATACGTTTTCTTTTCATGAATGTTTCATTTAAAATGCATCTTTTTTTGCCTCGAAAGGAAAACTTATCAACCATTGCTCTTTAATCAAACTTTGGTGGGTCTCTTTTAGAATACAACAACAAAGAGTTTCTTTGAGTTCGATTTTGTTTTTATTAAGAGCATGTAAACATTTTGACGTGTAAATTTGAATAAACAATTTTGTAAATGCATAATATCGTCATTTATTTCATAAAATCAAGATATAATATAAATGATACATTTCACTTGAACGTTTTCAATCACGTAAAAGACATTACGATGGTAATCATAATCTAAGCAAATTTTACAAACCGCAATCTGTTCTGTATGTTAGAGGTGGGTGGTAATTGAAAAAAGTCATTGAATAATCCGAAGGATAATTTTTTATTTAAAGTGCCAAGAATTGATTCAGTTAGTCGGATTCATTAATTGATTGATTTAGTAGTTTCAAGCATAAGTTAATTTTGATAAGCGCCGTCTACTATACTACTAATGGGATAATTAAGCATCTTACGTATAGTAGATGGCGTTAATCAAAAATTAATTTACCCGTGAAATTAGTGTTTTTAAAATATATATCGATATATTGCCTAAGGAAAACATCGATAGCTAATCGTTATTCTTTAAATTGTAGACTTTAATTTTTTATAATTTTCCCCAATTCGCTAATTTTTTGTCTTACTATCAGAGACATTTCCTAGGCGATTCGGAAGTCAGCCTTAATCTCATTTTGAAACCTTTACCTTCTCTTACTATCTCTTGCTACTCTTTATGTAACTCTTTTCTGTGTCAGTAAGGTTTACTGTTAGCTTTAAAAGCAATACTCTTTGGTTACATTGTCTATCAATTAATATAACAATTTAAATAGTGCAATATTTCAAAATCTGGACATTGTAAAAGTGTTGTCTACACGTTCTTATAAAACTGTTAACCTATTAATCAACTGGATTAATAACAATCTGATTTTTTCTAGAAAAAACACTGGACAAGAAGCAAGGTGTTTTGGCGCCCATGCCTTTCATGCATTGTTAGTGATAATTTGAGTGGAAGTGTTAAACCTTTACCAGTTATGCCGAAAGCGGAGTCAAAGTGTACAGTATCCTCTTACAAAAACCTTTCCAGAATTAATTTACACAGTCTTGCCCATTGTGTAGGAATATTACAGCCACAGAGCTTTAGTAGAGATGATCTATTGCTTCGAGTTGTTAGTGCACATAGAGTTCAACAACTATATGAAGGACGACAACCAGATTTGACGATCGATTCAAAGATTTATACATATCAGCATCAATGGCAAGCCGCTGTACAACTCAGATCGCTGGGTATCTCTGATGAAACAATCATCTTACTATTGAAAAATGGTATCAGATCAACTGATCAATTGCAAGGTCTAACATTCAAAGTATTTGTGGATAGCGGAATAGACCCAGCACAAGCAGAAATTATCGTCTTAAACTTTTGTGGAAATAAGCAAATAAACAAATTCGAATCTAATCAAATGGAGTCTGATATAAATTATCCAAATATGGCATTAATGATCTCAGCACGTTATCGATGTCAAAACAGAACTTGGCCTTATGAAAATATTCCCTTCCTCACATTTTTAGAAGCATTTGAATACGATCTTCAATTAGCCGATCCAACAGGAAACGAATGGAGGGATTTCCTTCGAGGTGCTCTCCTAGGAAGGTCCAGATGTATTGCTGAAAAGGCCATCATGAAGAACCCTGGAATATCTTATCAAGAATTGAAGGAGATTGTCATAGCTGGACAAACGACTGATGCAGAGATTTCAGATGCATTTAAAATCTTGCAGATGAAGTATGAAGCTCAAACTGACATAGTCAGACACATTGAGCAAGTCAAAAGCGCTGTTAAATTCATTTATCCTGCTTGCTCTAATGAAGCTTTAATCATCATATTGCTGTTAACTCTGCCAACAAAACTATCTGAGAAAGTGAGAAAAGACATGAATATATGTGAACTTGATTTAGTGGAAAAACGATGCATAAGCGAAGCGAAGCTTTATAAGGCAAAGGTAAAATCATCTAAACCAATTGTAGCGAAGCCACCTGAAGGGAAAAAGGCCAAGAAAAGTTGTTCGCAATGTGGACAGAAAGATCACAACGTTGAACAGTGTCACTTAAAGCCCAAAAAGAAAAAAAAGAAGAACAAAACAGAAATTGTTAAGCTCGAAAATTAAACGAAAGTTAACCAGATGGAGTTCATCTCTATTTAATGTCACACATTGACAATCAAGCTCATGGTGATAAACTTGAGTGGATTGAATTAGTATATATGTTCCATTACTGGAAAACATATTTTCCCAAAAAACTGGTAAAAACTACCTTTAAACACGATGACCAATTCAAGGTTTGGACATATCTTTCTGAAAACCTACAAAGCTTTTGCAAATTTTGATACATTTGATATTTGCCACTTTATAATTTAATATTACAAAAATGAAGGGTTATTGGAATTAAAAATACAAAAAGTACAAAACGAGCCTCTATCTTGAAATAAATTGTTAATTTACATTAAAAGATCCATTAATTTACTTTTCTGTAATTGATTCACGTCTAATTTGTTTCCTCCTTTACCACCTTGTTTGTTGAGCTATGGTAATTTACTACAGAATCTAAAACGGTTGTACAAAAATTTTCTTTCAACTCCTTTCACTTTCTTGTTACGGATTTTTATTATCCGTTTAATGCATCCACAAAATCGACAAGTTCTTTTTGATTCAATTTCTTGTTCAGCCAATAATCTTTTTTGAGCGACAGTCAGCTAAAATTCACTGAGGAAATTTTCAACAGTAAAAAGCTATGATGAACCTTCAGAGAAACCGGCATACTGCGTCTGTTAAAATAGCCACTTATGTTTACAAAATTTTTGACTATTCTCACAGTTGAAGTCATATGTTGAAAAAATGTTAATTGTACTAAAAGATCATAATAATTATCGTGACACGATTTTTAAATTCATTAAACTAACTTTAATTTGAAATTTAATATTCATATGTCTGCTTGAGCTGTTGAAAGTGTCATTATTTTCTTATTTTTAAAGGATTTATTCTAGTTTTGAACCAGATGTTCTAGTCGCTTATTATTCCTGTATTTTGCTTCTCCTTTCCATTGTAATGAATTTACAAATCAGTTCAATATTCTCATCTAGCTACTTAATCTGGTCACACCTCATATCTGTTCAATGAAGTTAATCCTGGTACCCATAAAACCCGTGAATTTTGTGTGATGCCATACAGTTTCTTTTGCTGTAATTTATTTCTACATCTTTCTTGGTTCACAACAAAAATTTTGGCTAAACTGAAGTTTTAAAATTTCATTCATGTCGATTGGAGCTCGATTTCTATCGCGTTTGCTTTTATTTTGCAAGAGGAAGTTTATCTCAGCATGGAGTGCACCAATCGCAAGACTTCATCGAGCTTGGTATTTAACCAAACTGGCCATTCAAACCCTTTGTTACAACCAGCATTTAGATTTGAATTACGCTTTGGACACCCTTTTAGAGCCGATTTTTTGGTTTGTTGATCATTTTACCGCAGCGTTAGGACCCGTTTTCGTTTTTATGGTCATAAATTTCCTTTCAGCTTATGTTGTGATTGCATATGCCATTGGCTTGCCTTTTTGGTGGAATCGAAGTGTACCTGTAACCTGTATTGCTCTTATCCTAGGAAATTATTTATTAATCAATGTTGTTTTCCACTATTATATGGCTTTAGTTACACCGCCTGGTCAACCTCCACCTGTGAGTTTTCTTGATTCATGATTTTATTGCGTTCTTTCTTACTCATTTTTTTCTCGTTTCTTATCTCCAGGATCGTCTTCTTTTCGAGGTCATCTCAATCTGTAAAAAATGTATGACACCAAAGCCTCCACGAACTCATCACTGTTCGGTCTGTGATAAATGTATTTTGAAAATGGACCATCACTGTCCATGGCTCAACAACTGCATTGGTCACTTTAATCATCGATTCTTTTTTTCATTCTGTCTTTTCACTTGGATTGGAACCATTTTTGTCATGATTTTCGGTGCAGTCATTGCCTACGAACATTTCTTCTTATCTAATGATGATCTCAACACAACTGTTCTAAAGGTAAACTTACTCGCGAAGCAAAAATAATGATTTTCCTTTATTTATTCTAATGATAATATTCACCTTGTATTTCATAGAACAATTCCACATCTGTCACAACAAACAATTCTTTGTATACAAAATTAGAGGAACAAATATCTTTGCTTCGAAATGGTGCCATCATTTTTGAATTATTATTGACTGTTGGAGTCTTCCTTGCTATCGGTGCTCTTGGTGGCTGGCATGCTAAATTAATAACCAGAGGAGAAACCTGCGTGGAGACATATATCAACAAAAAAGAGAAAGAAAAAGCTGCCAAACTGAATAAAAAATTCATCAATCCGTTTGATAAAGGTCCAAGAGAAAACTGGAGGATATTTCTTGGATTGAATCGTCCTGAAATAAGCTTAAAGCATATTTTATTTCCATCGACTCATTTACCTATGGATGATGGACTCCGGTCAAGCTGACTAAATCTAGTGCCAATCTGATGCTTGATGCCCAAGAACGATTTGAGATCAGCTAGAGAATGGTTGATTTATACCAGCCATATACACAATCAAAATATGATACCAAAGTACATAACACAAAGCTTGTAATATTCCAAGTTTCTCTACATTCAGAGAAAATTAAGATTTTACTATCAAAAGATTAATTCAGACAATTTAAGGTACAAAACTGTTCTAACTTTAATTGAATGGTAAACATTTTCACAATAAATTTCTGATTTAATATGAAAACAACAATTATTTAGTTGATTCCTCGGTGACTGGGTAAAGAAATTGTCTCAATTTATCATAATATTGATTTGTTTTAACCAATTGATCTTCGGACATCGTTAATATTCCTTTAGTAGTCAAATCTCGGGTAGTTGATAAGCCATCTGGGAAAACTCTGTAATCGTTTGTTTTACCAGACCCCCCGAGATAATCAGGTAAATTTTCTTTATCAATGTGTTCATTTAAACTCTTTTCATCACAAAAGCGAATCTTTTTCTTCACATAACCAGGTAACATAGTATAGACCAACGTTTTAACTGCTGATAATAACCAAGGAAGTCGATGGACAAGAGTATATTTTTGACCAGAGGGAAAATAATTACGTAAAGTTGAACTGACAAAATTAGCCATATCAATATCAGCATTGGCAATGGAAGCATCGGTACAATCAAATACTAAAACCCAACCATACTCAGGTCCCTTGGAAGCAGCTAATTCATCAGCTCGATACATCTGATAGATTGAAAATTTCTTCAGTATATCCAAGATACCCTCAATCTTTTGAAACAATCGGATACGAATGTGTACCACTGGATTACCCTGTGTGTCTGTACCATAATTGTAGATTCCTCCGACTTCATAAAATTCACTTGGAAATGATGTTTCCGTTAAGTCCGGTAAACCCATACGTTTCCTCCATTCAAGAACAGAACTTATAAAGGTAACACTCGTCTCAGGATCACCATTCCTCCTTTTAATGTACCGTCGTAGAAGCAAATCATCATTCATTAAACGATCCAATAGAGCTGAATCAATTTCCGATCTTTTATTGGACAACTTTTCTACCAGCTTTGAGCGAACGCTTTTTAAAGTTTCCTCTGGATAACTTAAATGCACTGGAACAACCGTCATTATTCACTGATAAAGACACTATCATGGATAAGTAAAGGACAACACAAAATTGAAATTTAGTTGAGTGTTGAAAATATCTTGTAACTATTGTTAAATAGATTTTGTTTTTGTTAAATCTTCTGACGACTTGTTACTTTAAACTGGAAACCAATGATGATAGTCACTACTCTTGTATACAGGTTTTGTCAATGTTTCCTAATTTTTCTCCGATCAAGATGACTCCAGGCTAGTTTTTTTAACCTCATTTTGAATCGAAATCAAAACAGATTTCCCCTTTTCTCCCTCTTCTTGCCCACTATACTTCTTGCTCCTTGGCTTGCCCATTCAGGGTATCAGCTTTATCATCATCATCTTGAGAGTGAATCAGTCAGTTCCTGTATGTTCTTGGCTCATATTCCTGTTGTTTGGCCGTTTATTGACTTTTAAGTCAGTTGCTTGACCCCACTTGTCCTCTTGTTGATCCTCCTATACCTTAACCTTGAATGTATCATGTACTTTCTTCCCGGTTACAGGTTGATCAGATCAGTTTTCATCCATGAACTTTAGATTATCCTTTTAAGCACAAAATGGTTTTCCATTGTCCTTGACCTCATTACTGAAGTTCCCGTTCCTAACCTTAGGTTGTCCGTTACTCATCATCAATACACACAATTCATTTTAAAAAGTTACATGTTTTTGACACAATAATCAGGTTCTGATAGAAAGCACTTTTTGTGGTTCTACATGCATATTAAAGTAAATTTTATTGATTGATTTCAAGTTATAAAACATTATTTGTAAAATTTTTATCGAGAATGACAAAAATATTTTTACAGTTGAACAATTAAAATAGTCAACAGTGTTTAAGAAACAAATTTTTGTGCTAAACCTTTACCTTTTATTTCACTATTTATGGAATGGATCAAGTAAAGTTTACCAGAATCTGGTTCAGTCTCTGAATGAGAAGATGTAACGTAAATTTTGTTCAATTGAGGTTCACCAAAGGTTAACGAAGTAACTTTAGAAGCAGGAACATTAATTGATAATTCAACTTTTGCTGTTCTTGAATTGATCTTGACCAATCGACCTCCACCATAAAGAGCAGTCCAAATGAAATTGTTAGCATCAACAACCAAACCATCAGGATATTCATTTGACTTGAACTCAGTGTGATTTTTAAAATCAATGAAAACTCTTTTATTTGATAAGGTTCCATTTTCCTGATCATAATCAAATACATATATTTTCTGGTCCTCAGAATCATTGAAATAGAATAGTTCTCCATCAACAGACCAATCCATACCATTAGACAGGGTAAAACCATCAGCCAACTTCTTCAGCTGATTACCTTCAAGACGATAGATGGATCCTTTGCCTTTAACAATTCCTTGAAATTGATTCGATTCAACAACTGATCCTACGATTAGTCGACCGCGAGAATCACATTTTCCATCGTTAAATCTCTCTTTGCCATCTACGTGTGGAGGTAAAGAAGACAATATTTGAACATTACGAGTAGCCCAATTGTATTTGGCCACTTTTTCGTCCAGAGTTATCAGAAAAGTTTGACTGTCATTAGCGTATGGAATAATTAGGGACACTAATCTGAAGCCGAGAGCGTGAATATCTTTTGGTTCGTTATTTAATGGTGAACGAATTATGGTTCCCTTGAAAGCATCAACATAATAAATGGAATCACTTGTTGATTCATAAAATGGTCCTTCGCCCAAATCACAAACATATTGAGAGGCAATTGAAACGGAATAATTTTCACTGTTAGCCATTGGTCTTTCGGCATAAGTCTTAATTTGATCTGTAAAAATTGGTTTCCACAGGGAGAATGTAGTAATTAACAAAGTAATAATAATACTCATATTGATTATCAATATCGATGTTGAGATGAAATTCACTCAAAAACTTGTGATTTAAAATGGTTCGTTTATCTCACTTAAATTTCCTCTCACATCTCATCAGTAAAGCCACTTCTGCTATAGCAATAGTTATCAAGGTAATAAGTCAAAGTCAATTTTAATCAATGATTAAATATCAAAATTAGAGGCATGAACCACCAGCAGGTCAAGTTGTCACACTCAGATCTAGAAGATAGCCCTGAATGAGGAAGAAGAAGAACAGAGTTTGATTATTTTAATAACATTTTTTATTGATCATAGATTGATTTTTTAATTAAACCCAGACTAATAAAAATAGGTGCATTTCATGCTTGTTAAAAATTTACTTTGATTGAAAAGATTTTCTTAGAACTGAGAACCACTAAATATCCTTTGAACGCAATAGCGCCCAAAACCTTTACAAATTCACAGCCAAGATTAATGACCTTTTGTTTGGCAATCTTTGGTCGGACACCAGCTTTCCTATTAACCACTCCTTCACATAGAGCAGGCTGTTTATAAATATAAATATGATTGTTTGAATCAGCTATGAATGCATAATCAAAATCAGGTGAACAGTTGAGGAATTTTTTCGATTCTTTAGAAGCTTGAACATAGCCAAGAGCTGAAAAAGTAGCAATATGTTCAACATGAAACTTTGATTTTGCTTTTGGTTCCCATATCAGTGCATCGATATCATGGCGTAACGCAAAACAAGGTAAATGGTCAGCATCAAATTTACGAGAAAATAACCATTGATGTCCAGCTAGGAAAGCTTGATGAGTCAAATTTTTTGTATGACAATTGTATCGGAAAAGAACCAAGTCTTCACTAACTTCATCACATTGCTCATTACCAGTTAATGAGGGAATATAACTAGAAACTGACTTTAATCTATCAAAGCCACTCAAACCAGAAGCTAAGATGGATAAATCTTGAAAAGCTGCAGATCTCTCTGAAGTCATTAATTGAAAACCTTGCTCTTCTCCTTTGATTAATTGGCACCATATTTGGTCATCTTGTTTCTTGATTAGTGTTATTTGTAGATTTGATACATTATCTTTTGTGTAATCTTTTGAACTTTTATCCAATGTCCAAGTACATTCCCCACGATCTATTTCTTGCCAAAGTTTTTCCTTGAATACTCTCTCCCCACGGATGTAAATTTCCATCTCGTCAATTCCGAAATTGACTTTTATTTGATTAGCTTCGATATCCAATGGTAATTTGAAATCAACAGTAATCTCAGAATCATTTTGATAAAAGACATACATATTTCCTTTATCTTGGTCTGACTCCACGTTAGAATCTTTGGTTTCCGGATTAACAGGTTCATCTTCACGCGAATCAAAAGAAGTTTTGAAGTGCTTTTCTGAGACAATTGTGAGGTGAGTGTTCTTGTCTTCATGGTCAATTTCGATGTATGAAGGGTATGATTGCCCAGTAAGTTGATGTAATCTTTGAATCGACCATACAGATGATTCTTTTGATTCTTCTGATTTCAGTTTATTCAGCTGTAAAAGATTCAACACACATTCAAATTTTTCGTCGTTATTTTTGTTGACAGTGAGTATAACAACTTCCAAGATATCATAATCGTTTTCGGACCGGTAATTTGCTGTAATCAGCTTAGCTGGACAGGGGAATTTTTTAGCAGTTTTCTGATCATTATGCCAACATGATCCAAAGGATGTTTCATCGCTCAAATTAAATGAATTAACGACTTTCCAAGTAGCTGGTTGTGACTGGCGATCTTCAGTTGAGACAACCAACAATTTTAAAATTCCCTCTCCAAGACCCTCGGTTGAGCTGTTCAAGAAATATGGAAGGGAACGATTTAAGAGAAATTAAAAAAGTGATATAAATGCATCTAAATAATAGTTTGACTTACCATTGAGAAAATAAAATCAACGCAATATCTTTAGACGGGAATAGTAAAGTAGTAAGGGAGTCATTTGATTTGGCTTGACCACCATCAGTCACCTCAAATAAACACACTGGAGAAGTAATTTGGTCTTTAAGTTGGTCAATTTCAATTCTCCATATTTTGAAAATACTGTCAATGTAGTAACATATGGGGTCATCATCGAAAGGATCGGTAAACAAATAATTGAAATCTCTAGAAAAGGCTGAGAAATGAAGGTAGCTATAAAGCTGTTTATCTTCTAAAGTCAATTCATCAACTGGATCATTTAAAGGCACAGATTTAATATCAACCTCTTGAGTTGTTAAATAATATGTTTCAAACTTAGAATCAATTAAATGACGATTAACTTTTAAATCTATAGTTTGTGTCATAATTATTATTGAATAATTTGTCACATGTCAAAAATGAGAAACTATTGAGTTACCAAGGAGACATGTGAAAACCTCTTTTCAAATGTTTTGATTGGAAAAGCGCCGATCTTAACTATCAATTAACCATGAATAACATGATATTTGATCCAAGTTATAAAATTTCAGCGTTAATAAGCTATCACATAGATTTAATAAATCTAATTGTTAAACAGCCCACAAAAGATCTCATTTTGAGCGCTTTTCCAACAACTTGAATCAGCAAGCTATTCATCATTTCATCATTTCAGAGTTCGACTTTTCTTTTTCCACAATTTTATAAAGTTTGCTCAAAATTCTGGTTGATATATTGCAAGCACTCAATATTTCATTCAGAACATTTGAGTGAAGTCTCTGCAAAGGCTCTTGAGTTTGGCTCTGTCCCTAATCATTCCTTATATAAATCATTTACTATTCCTGATTTACCTTAAATTAAAATAAGTTGAAGACGATTTTTATCAGAACCACACCTCAGCTACTTGTTTGCTGAATCAGATTATGATTGCAGAAACATTAATGATAGTGAAATGAGTTTCTACTGTGAAATACAATGAGAGTAAAAGATATAATCTGATAATGTAATTAACCATTTGATACACCTCTATCTATGTAACTGTTTTACAAATTCAACTCTAGCAAATATGTTTGAAAATCATCCGACCTTCAATTGAATGTTGTTTGATCAGTCATTACATTGTATATGTATCTTCAAATTTCAACGTAAAAAATGGACTTGGCTAATGATGGAACCAACGATGAAAGGTAAATAATAACTTTTGATAATAACTTCCAATTTCCAGCTATCATATTACCATGATAGATTAAATTAGCGAGAAATCACAGTTCAAAATTCATTTTAATGTCCAAAAATAATCAGTTGAGTACTCTTGGTTAATTATCTGTAATTCACTAAATAACTTGTCAAAAACACGACAAAGATTTTCTACTTCAAGCTTTAAAGATTGAAATTTTCTAGTGGATAAATTCATCATGTAAATTGTTGATAAATTGTGTCCAGTTTAAATCATTTAAAAACAAAATCATAATTTTAAAACTTGAAATTTCAATCCATGGTATCCATGGTGATTATTAATACAAGTTTCATCATCTGTTGTTTACTCAGGTACTGATCTGTATTGATCTTTATTTGACAATTCAAATCATTTATTTTTGTCTAATATTCTTAACTAATTATATTAATAATTAAGTAACTCCATCACGCTGCTAAAATTTTTAAAATCTCCAATGGTAAGCTGAAGCTTTTTTCAACATTTACTGCCAGCAACATGTTAATTTATTGATCCCTTCCCTTCAAGTGGTTTTTGATTTTATTTAAGTTATTTGAATTTAAGTGATTGTCTCGGAATGAAGATTGAATTTTAGATCATCTCCTTTGCCTTGGCCAGTCCAATTTGTTCAATACAATTGTGATCTTAGCGATCTATATTGATACTGACACCATATTGCAGTGTAAATCCGACATTTACTCATTTATGTTTATTTATTTATCAATACGGACAGAGATGCCCATAAGAAATCTGAGGTATTCCATATCTCTGGAAATCACCTTAGTCAAGGTGTAATCAGCAACACAACACCTGAGCTTCCCACTGGTCAGCCAGCAGTACCGAAAAAAGTAAACAAAATGCAACGATTGAGAAATAATATCGGATTTTGGTGAGTAACAACATTATTGATATCATTTTGATAAATTGAATAACCAATTTTTTCTAACTTTTTCTTACAGGATACTTGGACTGTGCAATAATTATGGATATGTTATCATGTTATCTGCTGCATTTGATATACTTAGCAGAAATTTCAATGTATGATGGAATTTACCGTAAAGCTATCAACTAGTGTCTTCATTGTCATTCTCTTGTATTTTATTTAGGAAAATGAGGACAAGAAAACTGATCAAGATGACGAACCATTTTGTAATCCCATGTCTACTGGAGCTATTTTAATAGCTGACATCATTCCATCACTGTGCATAAAACTTTTATCACCTGTTCTTCCATTAGGAGCAAAGTTCGTATTCATTCAAATGTTTTAATGCATGTCATGAAGTGCTAATTAATTTGAATGATCAAGATTTGATTGTAAAATTCTGTTTTTTATAGCTTGAGAGTTATTCTCGTGGTTATATTCTCAGTATTAAGCTATTTGATGACTGCCCTCTCATTTGCTAGATGGGTTTCATTTTTAGGTTTGTTGTTTCAAACATTCACTATAACACTATTTATTAATGATTTTTATCATTTTTAGGTGTAATTTTTGCATCGGCTTCGAGTGGCTTGGGTGAAGCAACTTTCCTTTCATACAGCTCGAGATTCAGTGATAGTGATACAATATCCTTTTGGTCATCAGGAACGGGAGGAGCAGGTCTCATCGGGTCAATTTCATATGCTGGTCTTACTCAGCTAGGTCTTTCACCGCGAGTTACTCTTCTTGTAATGTTGATTGTACCAGTCATTATGGCAATCACATTCTGGATTGTATTAGCGCCTCCAAAAATTGATGTTGCTACTATCACTCCACTAATGCAACCAAATGAACCATCTACTGGCGATGAAATAATTTCATATCAAACTGTCAGAGAACCCGAAATCGGACTGACTTTAAGAGAAAAATCTATTTTAATGAAGGTAATTTCAACAACACAGTTTATGCTGTTTATATCAAAATTACATTCTAACCATAATGTTTGAAATTTTTAGGGCTTATTGGGCTTCATGATTCCACTTGCTGTAGTTTATTTTGCTGAATATCTCATTAACCAAGCATTGGTAAGTGAAATGAGAAGAGTTAACGAACTATCTATTGAAATTTACCTTTTTTTATTATCAAAGTTTGAACTTGTATATTTTCCTGGTATCTGGCTAAGTCATAATGAACAATATCGCTGGTATCAAGTTGATTATCAGTTGGGTGTCCTGATTTCTCGATCATCTGTCAAATGGATAAAAATTAAAGCCTTATGGATCCTTCCTCTGCTCCAAATCATTAACCTATTATTGGTTTTCGTCGAAGCCCTTAAAAATTATCTGCCAAATATTTGGATAATGCTTTTGATCGTCTTTTATGAAGGCCTTCTTGGTGGAGCTGCATACGTTAATACATTCGACCAAATTTATCGAAAGGTTAGTTGTTTTGTGTGCGTTTCCATGCTTTTAACTTTTAATTTTCATCTTTTTAGTATGAAGATAGAGTTCGTGGTTTCTGTTTGGGAGCAGCATCTATTGCCGATGCTTTGGGTATCACATTATCTGGATTCTCGTCTGTTCTTCTACACAATGTTTTATGTGATATAATATCCAAAAAACAACGTTAATCATCTACTGGCTAAGCATTGATTGTTTAATCGATCTCATCTCTATCACATATTTTTAAAAAAGGAAATCAATCAAACTCTTTGAATTCCGAGATGAAAGACCTCCATTGTTTCGTTTTTATTGCATATATGTTTTTAAAACATGCGAAATTAATTTAATTTACTGGTCAAAATGACAATATTAACATGAGAGCGTCAAGATCTCAGTTTTGTCCATTTCATCGATCATTGTTTTTATTTAAAGTTAATAAAACAAGCGGAGCCCTCGATCATATTATAACTAATCTTAAATTTTATTCCTCTCTATTCACAACAAATTCAAATTATATTATTAATATTTAAAGACTCAAATGCTTGATGAAGATTATCGTCTATGTGAAAAACTTGATAAAATAAAATCAGGCTTCACAGCTAAACAAATTGAATTTAAGCTTGAAAGCGATTTCATCAAAAAACCTTCGATCAGAGAAATTTCCTCGAAAGACAATTTTCCTTATCCTTCCAATCCAACAATCAACCATCAATAACAACAATAAGCCATATATTGTGTAGATAAAATGCGATAAATGCTGTACATTTTTCAATTTAAAATAGTTTATATTTAACTTGAAGTAAGCTTACTAATAATAGTTACCCAACAACTTTTCCTATGGAAAATAAGACGAGTTTTGTGTGAGAAGACATGTGTAAAAGTTGTTGCTATCAACAGACATAGATCTATGTATGAAAAATGTATTCAATAATTTTTATCTTGTTAATTGCTAGTTTAACTAAATTTTCCCAAGAATCGAGTAATGATTTGGGTGAAATCTTGGATCTTACCTATCCAGTGAATAATATAACTCTTGATTGGGCCGGAGACAAGTTCACAATGAATATAACCAGTGGATTAGCAAAAATTGACAATACATCTTACTGGTATGTAATACTTTCTTCCTGGCTCAATTTACAATTAATTTATTATTATTTTTAACTGTGAAGGTATCAAATCGATACATTTTGGACTCCTACTCACCTTGGTACACATCTTGATGCTCCTTGTCACTTCGGTAAAGATAAATGGGGTGTCTCTGATATTCCCATTGAAAGACTTTATCAGAGACCAGGTTATCTGATGGATATTTCAAATAAAGTCGGATCCAATAACAACTACGTTGTCACTGGTGACGATGTAAGCGATTGGATTGAAGCCATCGGTGATTTAAAACCAGGAGCAGTTATTTTGATTCGGACAGGTTGGTCCAAGCATTGGCCTAATAGACAGAGATATTTTGGGATAAAAAATGTTGGCGGTTCCTTCAATTTTCCAGGCATATCTACTGATGCAGTTAAGATGCTTATTAAGAGAGGAGTAGATTTATATGGTATCGGAATTGAAGGCCCTTCCGTCGACAATGGTCCAAGTAAAGATTTTTCTACTCATTCACTTCTTTCTGAGCATAATATTTATGGTTTAGAAAATATTGGCCCCGCAATAAAACAATTGCCAAAAAAAGGTTTTCTTATTACCTCACTTCCAATTAAGATTGATGCAGCCAGTGGATCGCCAGTTAGGATTGTTGCTCATCTAACTAACGCAAAATTATCTATGTATTCATTTGAATCTTATGTTATTGTAATTAGCATAATTACTATCTCAATTATCTTCTATTTGAGGTCATAATTCAACATTGATACAAACCCTTATACAAAATTTTGTATGTAAGTCAAAGTTCAATCGTAAATTGTGAATAATTTGAATAAAACCATGACTTTAAAATTTGGAGGATGAGTTGACTGTGATTAGAGAATCTGTTTAAAGATTTCATCCATCATCATTAAGATCAAGCAAGATTCTGTCAGATAGTATGGATTGGGACAAAAAGGTTTCGATTTTCAAGCTTTCGATTCAATGTGAATCCATATCAGTCAACTTCGAATAGAACTGAACTTGATTAGACACAAAAATAATGATGAATTGAAAATTTCAGTCTTTCCAACACGAAATAATGGCACAAATGTTATAGTTGGGAAACATTTTAAGATGAAAGATTTTGGATGATATACCATTAAGGTAGATTACAGATAGAATTAAAATTCAAACAAATGATCAAAATTTTGTCATAGCTCTAATATTATTAAGCAGAACGATGTTTGATATAAAATTATGTTGTTAAATATACAATCCAAGAAATCATTTTCGTAACCATAAGTCGAAGTCAAGTTTATCATCATATTCAAAGCCAAATTTTTCTTTCATTGCTTTTGCTAATTTTTTAACTTCCTCTTGATTGTCAGTGGAAGATCTAATTAAGCCTCGTGATGTACATGGTTGAGGTTGAAGTTGATTGTTGAAGGTTAAATCGTCTACCTCATCAGCTAAATCCTCTGGAAGAGATGAAATTATGGAAGATGATTCAGATGTACGCGTCCATTGAAGTATTGGCCAGTCAATATTGCCAACTGGAGAGTTTTGAACAATTGAAGTGTTTAAGTTTTGGCTTATTTGTCCAGGTATGTTGCTTAAAGCGTCTTTGATCGTCTTGAATCCTTGTTGAACTAGTTGATTTGTTTGCTCCAATTTCTGACTTAGCAATTGATTTGTTGCTTTCAGTTCATCATTACTTTTCTTTAATTCACGGACAATATCGATAAGTTGTTTAGTATCCGATGGGGATTCACGTGTTCTATCTCTCTGAAAGTTCAAATGAAATACATAAATTAGTAATCGTGGCGGAGTTTTCAACCAAAAGATGATCCAGAAAAACAAAAGTTCAATAACCCTGGAAGTATGAAATCTGACCCTATTTGAAGTTGAAATTTTTGAATATGAAAACAAAAAACTGAGGCTAATGAAAGTCAAAATTCAATAAGAGATCACTTGAGTAACAATGGACATGCTAAAGATTAATACCATTGTTTAACTGAAAATTTCACCTCCACGCCAGTCTTCACCCAAATTATACAAACATTATGTTTGAGTAGGATTAGATAGGGATCTTTAGCTATCGGAAAATAGAGGCTCAGCAAAACTGAATTGATATTACATAAAATTAGACTAAATTGAGTAACAATGTCTTCATATTTCAACCTCAACAATAGCTTACCTCATTTACTGGTTCCTCTACCATTAAAACACCAGATAAAGACCCTGCTCCGTTACCAAAAGGTCGAAAATGCCTGCTTTGAGCAAATCCATACGAATGTTCCGACCATATGCTGTAATTTAAGAGAATAGGATTAGTTCAGATTTCACAAGAGGAATAGAAGGTCGGGATCAACAAGATACTAACTGAGTAAGCCCTATCATTAGAGAAAGAAACATTTATCATCAGTCAAGATGGATAAATGCTTTGATATTGTTAAACACTGCATGACCTAAACTTGGTTAGACAAAGATTAACCCTAACAATAAGTGATTCAGGTCTAATGCTAATTGTTGATGCAAGATTGTTGGTGTAAGATAGTTGACAACAAAGACATGGACTATTCAAACAAAACAATCACAGATATTATAGTTAAATTTTGAGCAACCCATGTTAGTGGTTGTGGTTAATTTGGTAATGAAAATTTACTTACTCTGATTCTGGCCAATCATGCTTGGAAGAATTTGTCTGTGGAAAGAATTGAGAAATTGTATCAACAATAAGAAACAGTGAAAGAAATAAGTGACTGAACCCAAAACAAAAATGACATTTGGAGGGTCAACAAGGGCCAACAGTGAAAGAAGGTTCACTCAACTCACTAAAGCCAGGGAAATATATCTAAATGGTTCCACTTACCTCAGGATTATTGACTGTAGGAAAATTCATAATTATTAACAATTATTAACCAGGTAAAATAATAACAATCAATTTGTTGGATTATAAAAAAATGAATGATGATTAACAAAACATGGAAAAAGATAGCTGGTTGAGGTTAATGGGAAGAAGAACATAACCCAGAAGCGTAAAAAAACAATCTTCAACTGAAGACTCTAACTCCTCCTTAAACTGAATAAAATCACGTTCGCAATATTTTCAACAATTGATTGCTCATTTTTTATATATTTTAATTGAACCTGATTGTTTATACATTATTTGTCAATTGCAATTTCAATCAATCATATGATCACTAAATAATAAGTGTTGATAAATGGAATAATAAACAGGATTCTCAGGCTTTCTTTGTTGCATTACATTATCAGTAATATTCACAGATCACATTCAAGGTCAAAACCGGCTACTGTTATCCTTAATTGTAAATCCAGTATCTTTTAACTCATTAAATTATTCACACAACAATCAACTTGGCACTCATAAATCAAGGAAACAATCAATGATCAGAGTGAGAAAAAAATGCCCACAAAGTACTATAAGCCATATGATCGCTTATAACTTGACTCACAGCCAGCTATTCAAAACCAAGAGCTTTCTTGACGTGATTAAATTGTAAATTTAATCATCTTTCTAAATCATTTATACAACCTAATTTTAATATAAAATTCGGTCAAAAATTGCCTAAAACTAAGATTATAACTATAATCCTGTTTACCAGATCAGCTTCATTAAAATGTAAATACATGCATAAGCCGTAATCCAAGATTATCTTATTTGTAGCAAAACCAAAACGATTTCACCGGTAAATTCAATAAAATTATATAAATGTAATCTATTAATTTTACCACAATTTAGATGCAATTTAGAGTTTCCACAATTTGAAAATCAAGTTAATTGTAATACAACAGGTATTTAACAATGGTAATTGCTTTCATCTTTATCAATGGGCTTTATTACCGGTAACTATAAAAAGTTGATAGTTTATTAAAATTATTTTATTAAATCTCTATCCAAATAAGCATTATCGTTGTTTATCTAGGATAAATTGCTACGGAAACATGAGCAACAACCAGAAAGCCATCCTTTAATTTAGTTACCAGATAACCAGGATTAACCCAAAATAGATGTCATTTGATTGTTAAACAAATGAATGGCTAAACCTTGGATTCTATAACACTTGCAGCTTGCTTCCAGAAATGACCAGATTTTCTGGTTTTACTTTTGCCATAGACCAAAGATTTATGGGTTTGTACAGTAAAAAAGGTCTGGATAAGTGAAGGGTTTTGTTGGGATGAGAAAAGGCTCGTTTAGACCCAAATTGGTCTGTTTTTTTTCTCCCATTTTTCTTTGTCTTTGCCTAATCTTCTTGCTACCATCATCACGTCCATCATCCTCATCATCTTTGTCGACGTCTTGCTCTTTCCTCTTCCTCCTTCTTGTAGACCTTATTCACTCCTTTATACGCTGCTTAACCAACAAGGTGAGAGACTTTGTACATAATCACTCTGATTAGACGGATTCAGTCTTTTTCAGCCAATTTTTCAAGTTATCATCCATTTTTATCAATCATTTTTTCACATCAATCTTTTATTGATTCATCATCAACTTATCATCACTCATCCTTCACATTGTAATCATCATAATTATCATCTTTGGCTCTTCATCAAGCTAAAACTTTTCATTATTTTACCAGTTTCTTTTCAGTTAAAGACATACATAAAAACTGTGATTTACTCAACCCACGAATCCAATAATCAAAATGTCGGACGGTTTTGTTGGCGATTACAATCTTGTTACAAGTGAAAACTTTGACGATTTCTTGAAAGCTTTAGGTAAGTAAACATTTAACCCATTTTATAACAAAATTAAATAACAATTTACTAATAACCAATATTATTTAGGTGTTGGTATGATCCTTCGTAAAACCGCTGGAGCTCTTAAACCATCTTTCCATGTAGCCAAAGACGGTGAAGATGCTTTCACTTTTAAATCAGTTTCAACCTTTAAAACAACTGAAATTAAATTCAAATTGGGTGAAGAGTTTGAACAGAAACGAATGGACGGAGTTTTATGCAAAGTAAGTTAATAAATCAATATAAATCAACTACTAAAAATCAATAGCAAAATAGCCAGAAACCCAGACAACCCAAAGATTGTTAACCCACAATTTGAAGGCAACTTCTGGTTACTTTTGGGTTAAACAATCTTACCCATTTCAAGACTCTCATCTAATCTAATTTCATTATTCAGTGTGTAATTACTAAAGATGGAAATAAATTCATTGAAGAGCAAAAAAGTGACCCACCTGCAAAAATTGTCCGGGAATTCAATGGCGATGAGCTGAAAATTGTAAGTAAAACCAGACTCCAAAGGTTTATCGATTAGAACCGTTTCATAATTCATTTGATAATCAAATTGATTGACTATCGACCATTTTATTGATAATTTAGTTGCTAGTTAAATCGAGGGTTCAACAGTCAACTTGAATACGCCTCAAAAATTTGCTTTAAAATTGAGCTTCTTTTCATTGCTAGAAAATTTCAGTCTTTAAGGTTAACCAAATCTTTTCGTTAATCAGTTAATCATTCAATCTGAAGATGAACTGAATGCTGATCTTTAAGTCTAATTGATTCAAGTGTCTAATAAAAATTTAATAATCGCTGATATTGACTTGTTAGACCACTCAGCAATTGCTATCAATTACGTGTTATATTAAATCAGTTAACCATCATTTATAGCCACTTGAACAGCCAATTGAGCCTAAAATTATCAATCACACATTCAATTGAATTGTAGACTTGAACTCACCCCATAAACCACAATTGATTAACAATTAACAAATCATTTATTCTGCCTTTTCTCAGGTTTGTACATGTAAAGATGCTGTTGCAACCAGGATTTACAAGAGAGCCACAAAGTAAACCATTAACAACAATTAGATCAATCTGGATTGACTTTGAATTGAATTTATACAATTGAATTAAAAAAATTTAATATTAATGAAAATTTAGATTAAAAGTTGACAATAAAATCAATTAATTTGCAAATCGCTTTGTTTTCATATTCATTACACACAAATCTTGATAACTTTAGCTATTAAAACAATTTTATTATCAGATCCAGACAATTATAAGCTCAGACAAGATTGAATTAAACTCTTGTCATTGATTATTTACATCAAGTTCAATGAATAGCAATACAATGGCAGTTAATGAGTGCTTTTTATTCACATGAAGGCTCAAGTGACATTTTCAATGATCGTCAACGCCATACTCAACTTATTTTAACCTTTATACAAAGAGCTATGAATTGCATTTCAAAGTGTAACGCTTAACACTATCTCTGAGCACGGCAATGAAACTTTGCAAATATTTTGTCGAACGAAAAAGATTTAATGTTTTTGGAATAACCTTCGGACAATTCATTGAATTTTGGTAAATTTGGTTTCATTTCAGCCATGAATAGACTTGAAAATCAACTAAACCTATTTGAAATTGTATTTGCTTTTAAATAGAAATGCTAAAAGTTTAAACTATTTGAGCGATGGAAAAGCTATTCAAACTTTGATAGTTGATGGTCATAAGGTGACAAATTTGACCTTTTTGTTTGATATTTTGGGCTTAGAAAGAGGCAAATTAAACTATAAATAAATTATATCTAAATTATAATATAATACAATTAACTCCAACAAGTGCTTTAGCTCGATAATTGCAACCAAATCAGATTTGTTAATTTGATTGAGATGGTTACATTCATTAAGCACCTTCATTGCACTCCTGGTATTAAAATGGTCACAATTTGTCTTCCTTTTTTCAACCTTGTTTTAATCTAACTTTGCGAAGATTGATGCACATTCGTTGTCCTACAGTCTTCTTTTTACCATAACTACGGGACTTCCCCATGAGTTAACAGCAGGGTTGTATCACTCCTAAATCAAGCATAGAATAGCAGGAGATAATAGTCACCCCAGTAATACGGACGCCCCGTTAGACCACCTGCTACCATCATCGTCGCACACGGAATCTCGTAATGATACAATATCAGCCATCCACCGAGCTAATAGTGTCAGTGATGGAGAAAGCTCCGACTCGGACCGTTTGATTATAGCTGATTATTATTTGATTATAGGGAGATATTAACGACTAGAAGGTTAGATATCTTATTGATCCAGGCTCGACCGTGTAATTGGTTGAATTAGCGAATGGCTCCATGAAAATTATAGAGTTTTTTATCGTATTGTTTTTATTTCGCTTTTATTTGTACTTTTGATGAATTGTTGCATCTTCAACAATCCAAATCGAATTTAGATACAATTTAAATAAATGAAACTTTTAATAAAGAAATTATTTCTTGAGCGATTACTTTATTCGCAATTTATTATAGTGAAACGTCTTTTAAGTTAAAGAGTTTTATTGGGGCAATAAACAAGACGAAAGAGGAAAGAGAAGAAAGACAAAACTTACTCTTGAAAGTACTGTTTATACTGTCTTGTTGGTTCTCCGACCTAAAGTTACATGGTCAAAAATGACCCTTTATATATGGTCATAGTTGAACTAAAAGTTACAGGTTTAATGGTAATTTATTAAATAGTTATATTAAGCATGAAAAATGATATTAGAAAATTATCTTATAAAAAAGCGCGTAAAATTCTGCCCAGTATTTCTCGTTTATTTTTAATGTAAGCAGAGTGAGTGAGAAGTTGGAAAAGAAAGGGAAAAAGAAAGAGATGAATAGGAGAAAGAGAAAAGAAAGAGGATGGCTTTGCACAAGCATTTACATCCTCCCCGAGTTATTGAGTTTGTTGTCGATCAACAAACGGCTTTAATTGGCTTGCATGTGCTCTCATGGTTGGTCCTGAAAGTGTCTCAGATATGTCATAAGTTACATCGGTTATTTTCTTGATGATGTAGTAAGGTCCTGTGTATTTCGGTGATATCTTTGTGACTGATGGATGATTGGCTGCTATTTCCCTCAATACTTTTTGTCCAATGGTGAATGGTGAGTCTGGATGCTTGGAATCGTGTCTTTCCTTGCGCTTCTCTTGGTGACGTCTTGTTCTTTCCCTTGCTTGCTGTCTGGCTTGATGCAAATCGTTTTTATTGGTTAAAATCGAAGGGTAATTGTCATTGCCGAAGAAGAGATAATTAGGAGAGAAACCAGTAATATCGTGTGGTGTGTTATTATAATTGACAATGATTTGTGGTAGCAGCGTATTCCATTTACGTTTAGGATTGTCCTGAATTGCGGCTCTGATCTTTGTTATCAGTGTACCATTGATTCTCTCAACAATACCGTTAGTTTGTGGATGATAAGGTGTTGATTTGTAGTGCTTGATTTCGTGTCTTTTGAGACAAACTTGCATTGTTTTTGAGGTGAAGTTTTTATGACAATCAGTCAAAATCGCTTTGATACGAATACCAGCGTGTTTTAATTTGTCAATCAAGGTGGTAACGGTTTCCGAAGTGTTTGTTTTTGTTGGAAAAGCCCAAACATAACGAGAAAAATGATCAATGAATACTTGAATGGATTTATGCCTTGTACTTCCTGCTGCTGGACCGAGAACGATTGTGTCTAATCCAACTAGATCTCCTGGATCCAAATCTGCTGATGGAAGAATCATTTGTCCAATTTTTGGCAGTGTACTAGTCTTGACCAGTTGACAAGTTTTACAAGATGAAACATAACTTTTAATTTCTGAAACAATGTTTGGCCACCAGTAAAACTGAGTGATTAGTTTAACAGTCTTGTTCTTGCCGGGATGACTGTGGTCATCATGAAATTGTTGGAGGAGTTTTGATCTCAGGCTATCAGGCACGACAATTTTCGTCAAGTTACGGCATTTAATCATTTTGATTCCATCAATTATCTCTAATTTATTGATTGTTGATAGATCAATTTCAGCCTGATGAGCTTTGAGTTCTTCAACGTCCAGATGTAGAGTAATTGGTGCTCGTGATAGTGCATCAACATGTTGTTGATTTTTACCAGCTCGATGGATAATCTCGTAATTATTTCGTGTGGATAATTCAACACTCCAGCGGTAAAGTCGTCCTTTTGGCTTTTTGAGTGAAAGAAGCCAACGAAGTGCACTGTGATCTGTTATTATTTTAAATGGAAGGCTCAAATAAACGTTAAAATGCTCAATTGATTCAATCACAGCCAGACATTCTAGTTCAAATGCTGTATAATTTGATTGATGATCATTAAGTGTCTTTGAAAAGTAAGCAATTGGATGTTCAACTCCATTTTGATCTTTTTGAGCTAGCGTTGCTCCAATACCAATAGCACAAGCATCAGTGTATAAGATGCAAGGTTCATCTTGATTGTATATGTTTATTACTGGTGGTTTGGTTAATTTGTCCTTCAGTTCATTAAAGGCGTTCCTTTGTTGGTCTGTCCATTCAAAAGGCTGATTCTTTTTAAGTAGCTTTGTTAATGGTTTACTGATTAGGGCAAAATCATTTATGAATCTGCGATAGTAATTCGCTAGACCTAAGAATTGTCTAACTGTTTTGTAATTGTGTGGCTCAGGAAAATCTTTTACAGCTTTTACTTTGAGTTCACAAGGTTTCACACCGTAGGTACCAATAACGTAACCAAGATATTCGACTTCATCTTTCGCAAAGTTACATTTACTCATTTTCAATTTGATGTTATTATCGTGTAGTCTCGTAAAGACTGTTCTCAGTAAATTAACATGCTCTTCAAGAGTTTTACTGTAGATGATTATGTCATCCAAATAGTTGATAGCTCCTTTGTAAAGGAGAGAACCGAGTACTTTTTGTAAAATGCGTTGAAATGTTGCTGGGGCATTTTTCAAACCAAATGGCATTACCATCCATTCATAGTGACCTTCATGGGTTATGAAAGCAGTTTTCTCAATTGATTCCGGATCGACTTCAATGTGCCAGTAACCCCAAGCTACGTCAAGGGTCGTGAAGTATTTGCAACCATGGAGACGATCAATTACGTCAATGATACGAGGAAGAGGCATTTTGTCATCAATTGTGATAGTATTCAGGCGTCGGTAATCGATACATAAGCGTTTACCACCATCTTTCTTACTGACGAGGGTAACTGGAAAGGCCCAAGGACTTTCACTATCTCGAATAAGTCCTTTGTCTTTCAGTTCTCTGATTTGACGTGAGATCTCATCATACTCAGATTGTGGTCTACGATATGCTCTAAGTTGAATTGGTGGATGATTTATGGTAGTTATGTGGTGTTTTTCAATCGAGATACGACCAATATCAGTTTCATTTTGAGCGAAGACTGATTTGAATTCATCCAATAGTTTATTAATGCTTTTATTTGTTTCATTGTTCGATGCGAGAAGGGAATGTGCTTCATTATTTTTGTCAATGATGAAGACTTTTCTTTCTTGGAGGTCAAGTTTCAAAGCAAACTTTTTCCCAATGTCTAATCCAATTAGAATGGGATATTTGAAGTTTGAAAGTACGTGGAATCGTACTGGCTTATCCTCGTCGTGTAATCGAAGATTTGTATCAACATAACCAATACTGCTTGTTGAACCTTCGACTTGATGAATGGTGATAGGACTCCGTTGGTTAATCTGCAATCCAAGTTTGTTACAAGTTTTTAGGCTCATAATGCTGATGGTGCTTCCAGTATCGATGAAAGCTTGAAGATGCATTCCTCTGATATTAACTGGAAGTCCGATAAATTTGAAGATCGGACCGAAGTTGGCTTTACTTTTGAACGGCTGACCACTAGGGGGCGTTGCTGGATTGTTGTCGACCAAAATTTGTTCACTTGTACCTTGGCTGCTTGTTAATATGTTGTTAGATGACTGTTGTTGTTGTTGGTCAATAACACTTGGTGATGTATCGTTGAGTTTACCCAAGGCTGTACTACCATCACTGTCTTCTCCATCAACAAAATCGTCTGCGCAATACC